GAGTATCATGGAATGACCCCCTCCTCGAAGGTCCCCAAGGCCAACCTCCATACATCGTTCCATGAGTGGATTTATTCGATGGCTGTATAAGTTGCCAAACCCTAAAAAAGTCCCAGTAACATTAATATCGCTACTTACAATCAGGCTCAAAGGTAACAGGCCAGGTAGTATTACAGTTGTGTCTTTTGTGTTACATATGATTGTTGGAAGTGCTGTTGTTGTTCGCGAGCGTGACGCTACGGTTACGGCGCTAAGAAAATCTTTCTCTCGGCTTTGGCATGCCGTTTTCACACTATCTTGCTCGACATTTCCGACACGTTCATTCGTTTCGATATAACGGTCAGTTGTATAGATCTAGCAGCCAGATTACTGGCCCAGTAACAAATGCTGCAAATCATTGCGAGCAGACCACCTCTTGCCCAGGTGCAATTAGCCCAAGTATAAGCGGTGCTAGTCGAAAAAGTATCACTCATTTTCTTTCGGTCATATTTTGACCGCTATCTTCTGTTCTCCGCAATTCGCCCGTTATTTTTTCGTACCTATATTTGCATCGGCGTAGCGATAAGGACAATTACGGTACGGATGATGACGGCAGACGATAGGAATGATGGAAGCAACAAGCAGGCATCAATCAGCGTTATTGTTATTATTTATGCCTTTCTACTTTTTTTTTTTATGTGAGCGTAGTCGATATTTCTCCGTGGCTAAAAGATGAGAAAATCTTAATACTAAAACTATTAGACCTACCAAGCATATCTATTTTGTGTACACTATTATCTATTACTATTATTATGAATGAATATATCTGATTCGCTTCCTTTACAGTCTAATTCATTTTAGGTACGGATGGGGTCACTTGAACAATTCAGTAGCTACTGATGAAGATTTCAGCCTGCTGACTACTAGGCACACATACACAAAAAACTATAGACCATCTCAAAGTGCCCCAAATATTTTTGGGGAAGACACGTCATTGTTTGCACACTTACGACAAATAATAGCCCCCACTTTCATTACTGATGCTTGTACTCAGTCACAAAAGATCACACCTTTTTCACATTTATGACTCTCACATATTTATGGCTTTCAAACGTAATGTTGATTAGTTGTAGAGCCGAGCCGACATCGGACCAGTTGCACGAGTAGATAGAGAACGTACTTATAGAAACGAATTTTCCACCAGCCGCCAATAGCGGAACGCTGCATAGGCCCCACAATCCAATTCGTTTAGATTCATGCTAGACGGTAGCACAGAAAATTTCACATAAAAAATTCACTCAACTCAGTTCATCGCTGATTGCCTCGCATTGCCCGGTGCAGCCATTTTTATTTTATAATTTTTCAATTTTGTTTCTATTCAAGCCTGCGATGAAACCAACAAACGTATACAAATTCGTTCATTCGTTTCTCGTATGTGGAAATCAGAGATCGAACTATCGCTACTAATAGCGAATAGTTGATGGTAAACGGTAGATGCAAACGTAGTTATCGTTGTTGTAGACAAGAAATTTGTTTCCGATTAATGTATCATAGTTTAATATGGCGAGCGTATTTTACGGGAATCAATACGGAGCAAACGGACAGCGTAGCGTGGTTTACAGTCATCGCTGAGAGAGTCAGCACAGGACCAGATAATCATATGCAAGTCATATCTATATGTGTCAGTTGAGACGCGGAGCTGCCGAAAAGCTCTTCTAGTGAACTGAACAATCAGCGGATGAATGGAACGACAGCGGACGGTGATAGCTCGACGCAGTCCCATGCTGTCATTATACCCCAGTCCCATTCCTAAACAAGGCCGCGGATTTCTAATTAAGGCTCCAATGATTTTGTTAAATTTCGAAGCCCGCGCTAGAATAGGCCCGAATAATAACGTTCCTTGACTGAAATTTTCTTCATGTCTTCTAGCGTTGGCAGGGAGGCAGAAGAATGAAATAGCGTGTGATTCGTCACCGGCAAGTCACAAATCTCGAAGCAGAATACCCAACAAGATCCTCGTATGTGATTACAGTGAATCTATGTGCTTATTAGCGTTGTCTGCCGATGGTAAGAAACGGGAATTTTGCCATTTCGAGTTCTCTCATTTGCTAGAGGCTAACACCAGGAGACAGATGTGCTTTTATTTGTAGCTGTTTTTAATTACATGCCACTAGACATGTCATTCTACCTCATGACATCTTCATTATTTCCACATAGCGAATCAATAATAATGGGAACCGGTTGTTATGTAGCATGGGTATAGTAAAACCTAATACATGTGTTGCCAACAAAATATGGCTGAGTTCTTACATGACTCAGGAATCACCTGTTCCCAAGGGGATTTAGTTCACGGAACTTATAACTACGCCGACCCAAATGATACGCCTTAAACCTACTGCATTCCTAATATTGCTCGAATTTAACGTCAAGTTCGTCGTACCGGTATTGGCATAAACGGGTTCGAAGTACTAAGCAAAAATCAGGAGTCAAACCTCAGAGGTAATGTTTGCAGTGCCCATTAGCAAAGCAAGCAATAGGTGTCAGGGGTAGCTTTGTTTTAGAAGAAGCCTTAACATAAAGCCGGTTTGATTCATAGAACCTACATCGAGGCATGTGTAGCACACCCTGGTCACATATATATATATATATGGTATAATCGTTTCCCTAACGATATTCTGTATTCGTTTAACTGCATTATATCTTCATCCTGTAACTACCGCTTATGCGCAGCCAATGCCCTCCATAGTGCATCCCTGTAAACTGATCGTCCAGAAAGCCGTATCAAAGCAGTGCTGCTGAAAGGATAACGGAAAAAAAACGCTGGGAAGAGTTACATTGAAGCGCAAACAAGCCAGGAATACAGGCAAATACCTCTCGTTTGAACGAATATGAAGTCAACTAGTAACACGAAAACGAGGACAGTCAACGGCTGATGCAGCCGCTGAGCATAGCATCAGCGGCCCTTCACTAATAACAGCAACGACAGTAGCAGTAACTGGATCGGGGAACCGTGAGGGAAGTAGAACGATATGATAAAGGTCTGGTTCTTCACTTCTGTTCGAATGTCAGCTGAAGTCTCTTACTTACTCAGTTGAACTCTTCCGCTGACGGGCAGCGCCTATGCAACAAGCCTCGAATTAATCGCACTAGCCAGTTATCCAGTCAATCATCCGCTTTACTTTTAAATAACTCTAATCGCTTCCGGCGCTGATTTTATCACGACGACATAGTAGAAGCCATATGTCGCTTCGTACACGTCGGTTACCAAATGATTAACGCACCGAGACTTCGGATTGGTTCTTATTGCGAAGGTTATAGCATAACGATTTATTTCTACGGTGTTTATGATTATTTTAGTAGACTTTCGTAACGGGTGTAAAATATAAAACGCAGTATTGAAATGAAATAGGACAGAAAAGTTACCTAAGTCGCTTTTGCTTTCGCGTTCATCGTTACATGCCACAGGCGACGACAATTTTTTTGTTTTAAAGAGGGTTTTTTTTTTCTCTAAATTTATATAGTTCTCTGCATTATAGATTGTACAGTAGCATTTTTTTTGTAACGTCTATGCCACTTTGTCAAAATGTTTATTATCATAAACAAATTTCTCCAGCATTCGAACCTATTTTTTCATTGCAATGAATTGCCTACGGTAAAGAATATTCGTAGCTCCAGAAGACAACACGACCTGTAATATTAGCAAACAGACTTTGGTCATTCAAGTAATTATCTGGCCAGTTGTTCTGTTTCTCGATAAAAATTATAGTGATGATCCCATGATGAGTTTGCATCACCGGCAAAAACGACTCAGGGTTTACTACGAAGTGGAAGACAAGCAAGACCCGACCATCAGGCACCCGTAAAGATTCACGGCCAGCGGCTAAACTGGACTGCGCGCCCCAACAGCATCTCTGACGACAACAGCTCTCCGTTTAAATATATATATTGAAGAGCCTTTCAAAATACGGCGGGATGACCAACGCCTTTTGTTTCCTCTCCTACTCGCAGTCAGTTGTAAAGCAGTACTTCCCATATTTCAATGCCTTCGCCACACTCCTGACCGAGAAAAGTAACACTGGCTGAACGATCATGGCCAAAGTTTACCACCCCAAAAGGTCATCGTAGCGTTGAGGGAAAAGCTATTTTGCATAGCAGTAAAGGTGACTGCGACAGCGGGTACCAAGATGGCTGATTACCAACCACATTGACATTAGCAATGTCCTTCTTTACAGTCTAGAAAAAAAGTAGTCAAAGCATACTTACAAGCTGCATCTTTACAATGACAACTGAGAAACACCTATTAGTGAGTTACAGTTTGTATGAGATACGTAAAAATGTAATATAGTATGTGTCTAAAGAAGTGACGCAACTTCATAGAGTGACGACAGAGTACGTAACCAAATGAAATAGGCAACTTGGGACAAATATGGTTGACCTACCTAATTTATCCGACATGTACAGAGCGATATCAAATAGACTTTGCGTCAGGTTGTTCTATTTCAAAATCGTCAGGTAGCATACCCTAGCGCGCGGCCACGATAAGGCAATCGTCAGGTAGCATACCCTAGCGCGCGGCCACGATAAGGCTCAATTAGCTGGAGTCTTTCTTAAATACCCGACTATAAATCGTCAGAGTACGTATTGAAATTTTATATGAATTGAAAGGAGTTAACAATTTAATCATATTAGAGGCCATATATATAATGCAGTTTTTGGCCTCTAAACAAGTGTGTGCTTGTTTTGCAGATCGTATTCTTGAAATACAAATTGTCGAAGCCTTCTACCAGCAGATTCTTATCTACATTTTAACTACTACAGCTTGTTAGAACTTTTTCGTAGTCTGTATTCTTCGTCTAGTTATTATTTCAGTTTCTCAAATGTATGTTCTTTTCAATCGCGTAGAAAATCCGTTTGGCAGAAATACATTTGTAGTTCCCTTGCAGGCTTCAGACCCTACACACATTAACATCCTCTCTTAAATCTAGTTCTGCAGAGATGCCCAGGTGTTGTAGAAGACTCACCTTTGTGGGTCTGCTCTTGACCGTTACGAGAGGTTCCGCCGCCGCCGCGCCCACAACATCCCGACGAGCCTGCTTCGGCCATCTGCCCTCTTTCGTCGATCGAAGAATACGAATACGCCCGGTTATTGTTGTTATAGCGCATACTGATTATAGATTAACCGATCGTCCTTGATTTTTCTTTTCTTACGTGATCACCGAGCACTAACTACGCTGTTAGCAGTTAGGCGCCAAAAGACCTTTGAAAAAACTACCAAAAGAACTCAACTATATAACAATTCAGTTAGCCGACTTCAACTGGACAACGCACGAGTCATGACGCCATAGTTTTAAATCGAGATTTCTTCGGGCTAAGATTGAAGCGAGTTTTGGAAGACGGGCCACGGACACAGGGAACACAGTTGCTGCACCTGTAAGGAAACGTTATATATAAAAAGCAATAAAAAAGGTTTAGCTTCAAATTAAATCAATTAAAGTTGGCATAAAAAACAGTAATAGGTCAAACGCTTTATTAATTGGTACCTGAAATAAATATGGAGTATACGACGAAGACTATACGATATGTTGGTGTTTTTGACCGAATAGTCCTAGAATTATTGGCACAGACTGAGAATGTCGCGAGCAATAAAAATGTATACCGAAAAAACCGATATCAAATAAAATGTAAGCGGAAAATCAAGATATCAGGCATATTGTGACAGACTATGATGGCCGAATTAAAAGCCCAGTAATCGAAGTCGTTGAAAAATGGGGCCTTAGTAAAATTCAAGGGACAATTCGCATATCGTACCAAATTTCAGCATCCAGCTTAATTTTATCCTTAGGTCACGATCGTTGTTCCTTATCTTAGCATGTAGATCAATCCATATTTTCAAATAAAAATAGTCTCACAATAGTATCGCGCCTGAAGTTCCCTTCTGTAGATCTCCAAGCACTAGCGTACCATATTAACGACGAGCACAGACTATACGGTTGGGCGTATTGGATGGCTCATTTTAGCTTTCCTCATACATGCGTTTTTAACTAATGACTGCAAAAAAGGACTAACTCCATCGTAAGCGCAGATCGTTCTTTTGCACGGAGTAGCGTATTTAACAGAAGCAGTTCGAGGAGAAAGTTCGCTGAGTGTGTGGTAGCATGGAGCCGTCCGGTGGAGGCAGCCGTCATGATCAGTAGTCCCCGTCGCTGCTGCTGCTGCTGCTGCTTCTGTCGCATCCGCTACACTCTTTATGCGGAGGCCCGCTGGAGCTTACGCCAAAGCAGGGGTTTGTTATGAACAACAGAAACCCCACAAGCGCCATGGCAACGGGTCTCTTTCGAACGCTCGTGATAACCTCTCCAAGTTAACAACATCAGCCAACACATAGCTCGCTAGAAATCCAGCGTAGGCCTCGTAGACGGTTGTTGACGCAGGAGAGAAACTGAGTCTAAATTGATCAGTTCACCGTCAGTGAGATTTATACCTGATCGTATTTAGCAAATATAGGAAGAATACACAGACGTCAAAAATGGTGCACTCTTCTTACTGGAATCTATTTAGTCAGGAAAACATCGCACTAGATAGAATACAAACTGTCGTACCTTGTACATTCAGGTTAAAAAGTTTCCATTTTGGCACACCTTCTCTACTATATAAACATTGAGTCGTTTTTAACCAAGAATGTGGGCTATTTTTTCGTAGCACCATTAGTGTAGAAGGTTTTTAAGCGAACGATTGTGACAACTGATTTTTTACATCCTTCCTTCGATTGAAACTAAATGAACGTTCACTGAGGGAGTTCTGCAAAGACCGGAACAGATGACAAAAAGATTTGGCGACGTAAGATCCGCACTATGGAGCGGACACAGTAGAAGCGTCAATCCAAATCTTTTTCATCTTAGCCAAGTAGTTAAAGATGTATGTAAGCTGACAATGTCATAATGGAAGACGGCGCCTTTTCTGTTCACTAATCTCGGCCAATTTTTTAACGCACTGTTATAGTCTCGTTGTTTGTTGACAGCAGAGATCTAAATCCGTAACGCACGATTTCGTTTTACCCCCTTTAAACCCTTTTTTAACTCAGTCTGTGCTATGCCACATATTACGGAGTACATTTTTCTATTCTTTTTTATTCGCACATTTTTATCGTATATGATACGGTTTTAATCATCCCCTTGAAAAATGGGTCGGTTTCACAGATAGAAACACGATCGAGTCGTTGATCTTTGGCGTCAATTTATGCGCCACCCAAACATCGAACCTCCTTTTGTAGCCAGCTTTCCTGAAATGATCCAAAAGTTGGTTCTTTGGCGATGTCGTGGTTTTGCATGTGTGGGTTCCGCTCTACCTTTGCTACAGTTTGATCAACTGTTCCCGCAAATAGCCGATCCCTATGAGGAGCACCTTTCATACGAATTTTCCAGATCAAAAACGACAGAAGTACTCTTGCGCTATTGCTTCGAATCACTCATATTAGTAGTAAGTCGCGCAATTTTTCTAGGGGCCTAGGCAGTGTTTGTGCCTTCATCGTGATTAAACTGAAAAATTTAACGAATTTTGAAGAAATTCCACCTATCATTAAGACGCTTTATCTTCAGTCTAAATGAAGGCATTCTAATAATTTACGCACGTCTACTATTGTCATCGCGCAGTAAGACGTAATGATGCCAGTAACACGACTTCATAGTATCTGAGATCTTAAAGCCACCTAGTTAGCATAACTATCAGTACTTTTTTTGACAATCTAACATTAAATAAAACCAACTTATGCATTCACTTAGAACGTACGGATAAAGAAAACTGAACGATTTGATTACCTGGAACTTGTCAGAGAAGCTTATCAATAACTTCTGAAGAGCGTAGTCGTAGGATTAGTCGAAAAAAGACACTTTGGTAACCAAAATCGGTTTACAACACGAAACTCTTTCAAATCAAAGACGTACATAAAAACAGAGAATGAAGTTCACGGTAGTTATTTGGTTGAGAACATTGCGTAAGTAGTTATAAAGCACTGATAACTTGGACCCATATATAAAAAAAAAAAAAAAAGAAGAAAGTCTGTGCTGTGTTTGTTGTTATTGCTAATTCAGCCATCACTTTTCTTCCAAGTTATTGTACTGTTCTGATAGACATGGCCCTCTCTGCTGAATATCACCATGGTCATTGCCATTAACAGATCATTGACACATTGTTAGGAACAAGAGTTACACTAAGAATCATCGCGAAATGAAACGGCCGACAAACCAACAGCGTAGTAATTCGTTACACTCTTAATCTATCAATCAATGCGATAGCGATCGATCGTAAACACAATGTTATTATCTAAATATAGTAAATTAAAAAAATTAAATTTCACTCGAAGCCGCTGGACGCCTGTCGGACAGACAACGCATTGTGAGTAATTCGATGATACGTTATTCCATCGCAAATTGAAGTAAAAATTGTCATAGTTTGCTAAAGGAAAAGCTGATCGTTTTACTATTTGTCTCAACACGACGTAGACATACATCCACAAGCGACTGGCAAACGTCCAGCAAGCGCCAAGGGACACGAAACTTCGTTTGCGACTCCCAAGTGTCATACTTCTACTTGAAAAAAACCTTGCAATATGCACCGTAAGTGCGCATCGATAGTATAAATATCAACTTAGTATTCGGTTCGATAGAAATTATTATACCTTCCTAAATCAACACCTAAAAACGTTATACGAAGGAGCCCGTCTTTCGTTCTGCATTCAAGTGCTAAATCCTCACAGCCTTAAGATACCATGTGTGCTCTAGAGTTTTTTCTACGAGCGGTCGACATTAAATATAGAAGTCAGAAGTGTTCCACCAGATTCGCGCGCGGAACCTCGTTAGCAAGCAACGAAAAATGATTTAGGCAATAATCGTATGATACACATGATGCTCATAAAAGCCAACTAGCACTTTTACCGAATACGAACCTAGATACCTCACTGGGCGTATGGCTTCATCTCTACTCAGTGAGTATATGTGCGCGATACATAATAACAACGCACATTTGGAACGCTTCTGAGCCATGATCTTATTCATGCACAGAATATGTCACGATCCAGTCACCTTACGAGAATCGAATATATGATATCGAAGGACGACGCTTAATGGATGAGCCTTCAACCACGACTGAGCTCTGTTATTGCCAGCAAATAGTACAATAGTGCACAGGGAGCACAACCCCCGTTTGTTGGGGCGATAGTCTACATTATGGGGTATTACTGCTCCGTCAAGGCCAAAACGATCTGACTTTTCGACAAAACGATCGTCGTGCTTTTGCTGAATACTCGCGTGATTCTGTTGAGATCGATCCACACAACTGGGCGATGACCCAGCTAAGCCCGGTACTATTTCGAGGTCAAATATTATTGTAGAGGGGCTCAACAAGGGAAATAGTGTGGATTGTGAACGTTGAAACTACAGAGGGGGAGAGCTACAACTGCGGCGACACTGTATGGCTGAAGGGGTTGACGGAATAGTGAAATAAAATCCTATCATACACTCCAACGATCCGATTTGTCAGCTGGCCTCACAATAAGAGATAATTGCAATTTGTATTGCAGGAACAGTCCCGAAACCTAGCAACGATTAGATAAAAGAGCGTATGCTTTTTCTTTAGGCATGTACACCAATGATGGGGGATCCGGATCCGCAATTTAACAGGCACAGACAGCCAACAATGTGATTTTATTGTCCGCAAACAAGGAACGATAATTAGCGGTGATTGGTTGATATGTGCCAAATATCGATTGTTTTTATCAAGTAGAAACCGATCTTGAAAATAACTATAATCACTGAACACAAAGTCGTTGTTTATAGGAGGTGATAGCTGAATTGCATTTAAACTAACATGCATATATAAACATAGCGCACTCCAGTTATTCATATAGCTTATATATTTATTTCATCATGTATAATAAAAGAACACTGGAACCCTAATAACAAATGACACATCTTGGCCGGAACGCCGCGACCCCGTTTGGCGCGATGATCTTCAGATTTTACTATTATATGAGTTGGGAAAGTTGGAGGTGCTATAGTCAAAAATAGCTATTGCTTTGTTTCTTTAGCCTTATTTATAACATTAGCTACATATAGAATGATGTACTTGTTTGGCTATTAGATGAGAATCCTGTATTTGACATATATTTCATATTTCGTGTCCTAATTGTTAACGTTATTAATACAAACCACAGAAACAAAGAATTTTTATCCTTATAGCCATCTAGATTGTGCAATTTACCGTGAAGAACGTAAGAAGAAGAAGAACGTGGCCTCTTTTGTAGTTGTATTTTAATTAATGCTCAAATTCATGTTGAAGTTATTCTTTATTGAGCTATGCCATCTTAGTCGTAACTATGGATACAGGCTCGAGTAGCCACCAATCAACGTTGGCTATCTATATATATATATATCG